TTCAGGAATAACGCTCACCTGTGCATCCGTTCTGTTTCTAAACTCAACCTATTACTGCAATGAGTTGAATCGTGAGAGTTCTAGACTCAGGAATAATTCTCACCTGTGCATCCATTCTGTTTCTAAACTCAACCTATTACTGCAATGAGTTGAATTGTGAGCGTTCTAGACTCTGGAATAATGCTCACCTGTGCATCTGTTCTGTTTCTAAACGCATCAAACACTTTTTTGATGGCGACAAGCTCCCCAGTTCTTCTATCAATTCCCTTCCATACAATACCATATGCCTGTAAAACAATCAAAGTGTTTGTATAAATATCATATTCACATTCTCTATGAGTTTAGTAGCGTCCTATCTGAATTCCTCTCTTTAGCAACAAAGTTGACTGTTTTGTTTTGCAGCCCAATGCCATAATTATTGATTATGACACATGACATCAACTTTTCATTATTTCACATGTGAAATATATTTTTGGAAACATATAATTTTTTTTTATCATATATAACCTTTTTACCATTAAAAAAATGGTAAATGGCCTCAAAATCGATATTTGTATATTGATATTGTATTTTGTGTGTAAAGATTTGCTGACAATATATTTTTTATCTGGGTTTTGTGCACAATATCGTACACTGATACAATGATCGAGATCTCGAAAAACATCTTACTATAGTATAGTTGTGAAATGCGTTGTATAAATTCGAAGGAAATTAGTGGCTACTACATTGATGGTTTATTTGTTTTATTTTTCCTGAAGACCTCATAATCAGTCAACAATCCTCAGTCCTTACTGAGCCCCGTAACACTGTAGTCAGTTTTTACAAGTAATCTTTTCCGATGCGTGAATCAACAATAACTGTTGTTCAGTGATGTCGTTCGCACTAAACTATCAAACGTCTGATACAAAAACAAACACATTTTGTGTACAAAATCTTACTTACCCCTTTGCCCAAACGAGTCTTGATCTCATATTTCTGTAAAATGTGTTCTTCGATTTCCGTAGTCATGGCTTTCCTTCGATTTTGTTAATGATAAGCAGGCCAAGTCGTCGAAGGATTCCCCTTTCATGTAGGTATTTCCCCAAACCTAATCACAACCGAAGTATAGTGTTGTATCCTTACGTACGTTATGTAGTTTTCAAGATAAAAATGGAAATGAGTCAGCAACTAATTGTTTGATTTTATAAAAGATAGTATCCTATACTCAGGTAATCACTGCATAACAGATAATGATTTTAATCAAGTAAATAATCGCCCGTTATTTGGTGATGTGTACTAATAATTCGGTCCACTAAGTGAAGAGGCGTTTATGTAGGGCGCCGCCATATTGAGATGGTTCAACGCCTGTGGGCGCTGTTTTACAGAAAGGGATTCTGAAGTTATGTTATGATGTGCATGCAGTCACAGCCCTTCTGTAGAAAGGAACAGGTACAATGTTTATGTTTCTAGAACGTGTGACGTGTTTGACGTAAATGATTCAATGTGTTCCGGCGCCTGTGTTCCAAGTACGTGACTGAAATCGTGGCCACGTTTTGAAAAACAAAAATTATTGAAACTGAGGAGCGACTCATCTTAAATTGGGGGGGTGGGGGTTAAGGTTTACATGTAAGTTATCAAGAGGTATTATTGTAAGTATCACATAACTATATGAATGAGTGTTAGCTATTTAATTTTAATCTTTCGGGTTAATGTTTTATAAATTTCTATAACAAACTTTCATGCCATCAGGTAATTTACTGTATCAAAATACTGTGAAAACATTTATTTTCAATGGCATTACATTTCACTATTTCAATGTTTTGAGCAATTTCACTAGGTTTTAATTTCACAAACTTTGCAGAGAAACAATGTTCACATGATTTTAATTTAGCAATTTTGATACATTTGCAAAAATAGAAAATTTAAAAAAACGAGTGAATAATTAATGCATTTATTGTAATCAGAATTCCATTATTTTCCTATTTTTTTTAATTTTAGATCGGTTGGGCTTAATACAAGATACAAACATGAGTAAAGAATTGAATATTGTTGAAGTTGAAAACACTAACAATAACAGACGCCTCTTTCGACAAATTACACGTGATACATCAGGCGAAAACTTTGATGCAGTAGAAGACAGTCGCATTCTGTTCGGGTCAGTGACCCCTGGCAATCAGCTCGTGGCTGTGGCTTGTTTTCAACCAGCTATCACAACAAAAACCGAACCATCTTCCAGTAACAATTTTCAAGACGAATATTATCATTTCATAAATTTTTTATTTGTGAAACTGCAATGTCAAGGACGAGGCTACGGGACGTCTCTTGTGAGGACAATTGAGAAGATGATGTCACAGGAATGCCTCCGTCCAATCAGAGTGCAGAGCTCTACCAGGGCGGTCGAGTTCTTTTACCATATGGGGTACCGATGTGTAGGTACTCCCATCCAGTGTGTCTACAGTGGATCTAAAATGTTCAAGACATTGTATAACATGGAGAAAATAATTGAACACAAATAAATTAATGTTAGGGTTTGACCATTAGAAACTTGGGGGGGTAGAACTACTGTGCACAATATTTTTTTCATTCACGATGGTGGTGCTGTAATTTTTTCAATTTTTTTTCCCCACCCCCCACATTTTCTAATGCCAACCCCTTAACCTGACATATAGGGTAAAACACACAAGAGACAAATTTCTGTGCATTAGTGAATATTTGTAGTGAAAAACTTACTCGGGTTCTTAGAGACATGTGTAATCACTGAAGCTTTCACAAGATTTTTCAAAAATTGAGCGCTTTACAATAGTTTCCATGCAGATTTCAGAGAATATGTTGTATATATACATTATATATATATATATATATCAGTACTGTAAGCTGTAAATATATTTTTTTTTCAGTTACATCACTGAATTGCGTCATCATTTTAGGTAGAAGCCTAATCATAAATGAAAATTTATTCATTTTACAATAAATTGTACTCTGAGGCAATATAAGATTATTGACTTAAAAAAAGTTGGGGGTCACCAGCTTTATTTTCGAGAAAATGTTGGTTGTACTTTATTAGATACCCTGGTAATTGCCATTTTGGCACTGTTACAGGTATAATGCGTTTCCCACGGGTTCCCATGGCAGAGATATTATGTCATGTCTCTAATAGTAGGCTGGTGACATATATACTGAAAAAAATCTTATATTGTGAATTATGGGGTACTGTTCTGAATTATTTTTAAAATCTTGGGTTTAAAAGCTGTCAAAAAATGCAATTTTTCCTTAACATTGTGTTCTATGAAATTGTTGTAAAAATATTTAAAAAATATTAGAACAAGTTTCTCAGAATATGTCACTGTAACACATATAATAATTCTATTTCATTGTGCCATGGAACATTAGCTCTATGATTGTACATTGTACATAATAAACCAATGAACATTGTCATGCAATTTATGACCAACAACATTTGTGTACTTAAACCAGCATATACAACTACCGGTAACTCACTCTAATTTGTTAATATTAACTTTAACACGTAAGCAGATTCACTTTCATTAGACAAATATGATATTTTGTTACTCTGCCATTTTATGCAAATAAGGTGTTTTTGTCAGAACTGTGATTGGTAGATCATTGTCAGTTGTTTTATAAAATTGGTTTGAAAGTATAACTGTAACCCTTAATGTATATGCAGGTTAAGTTCAGATTTAAAGATACTATTTGCATATTTTTTTTTCATAAATTTTAACAGTTGAAAGCAAATGAATATATTTTACATGTATGGCAGAAAATTTGTCGATGATTGAAGAAAATACTCACAGGATTGTGGGTAATGGTGATTATTGGAATGAAACATGAAGGTCAACAGAGGTGAAAGTATTACAGATTTCCATAAAAATTATTCATGCCTTTCATATTTTATGAACCTTGTCAATTGAATCTAATCCATGTCAATTGAATCTAATCCATGTCAATTGAATCTAATCCATGTCAAGTGAATCTAATCCATGTCAAGTGAATCTAATCCATGTCAAGTGAATCTAATCCATGTCAAGTGAATCCAATCCATGTCAATTGAATCTAATCCATGTCAATTGAAGAATTTCTATGTGTCCTTTGCGCCGTGAATTCACAAAAAAAGGTACTGTTATAAATTTGCATATAATCTGAACTGGCCCAGTTATGTTATAGTCAACTACATGCATATAGCCTGTAGACGTGAGTAGGCCCTCGCCGGCCGAACGGCATCAGACTTCATTAACGCTAGACAGAATAGTGTATGTCTCGTCGGCAAGATCAATACTGCAAATTCACTAAGTTAACGCCTTTTTGCGATGAGTTCAATGAATATTCATTTTGGTGGTCATGGTAATGCCACTCAAAGCAGTGTTTTCTGGCAAAAATCACAGAATGTTTTCAACAAGATGATAAACATTAGCCAGCACCATATCGCACACTATATGTCAACAAACAAATAAACTTTGTTGTGAATGGTTACTCTTTGATAGCTGACGTTTCTGCAATTTGTCCAATAATAATCTTCGAAGTGAAAAACTACATCGTTATGTCAGGCATGTGTTGGGTTTGGAGCACCGCGGAGGGTGCAACTCACTCGACCTCGTCAGGTTACTACATATATTGCATAAATGAACATATATAATGAAATGAGCAATAAATTAATTAATCATTAATTTGCATATTTAATTGATAATTTCATTCAATGTAACTACTTAGGTTTGTTTCCTTAGAAATAGTTTTCATTGGTTGATAAAATGTTAGTAATAAAACACAATACATATAATGCATATATGTACAGAAATATCAGTGTTGTGGAAATGATCTGAAATTTAATTTTCCAATTATGAAATATACCGGTATTCTTAGTGGTAAAAATTACCAATTTGTGTGAATTGAATTTCAATTTAATTTCAGTTTAATTCCACGATATAATGGTTTCACACAAAGCAATGTATGTTGAAAAACAAACACAAGTCTAATTTTTCGCACATAAATGTTTCTTATTTATATCAATAAAACAGACATACATGGTTAAATAAAGTTGGAAAAAAAAAAAACATTTTTTTTATAATAAAAATGCAGATTGCTTCATTGTATGTAAATGTCGTTCATTACATAAATATAATTAAAGGTATAACAATAACAACTCGTAGTGTCGTCTTTACAGAGTGCAAACAAATAAATAAACTATGTAAGCATATTAATGTTGCGACAGTGTACTTAAAATATAATTTATGCAAAATACCCTAAACTTTTTTTTTCTTGAAACTGCCTTTCTTCTATCAATAAATATGACAGCTGATTTGAGTAAGTTGAGAAATGAAATATGGATTGAAATATGTAGTTATAGTTTTATAATACTTAAATAACTTCAACATTAATTATGCACATTCTCTAGCTTTAATTATTCATTCAGCTGATATGCTAGGGTTCATAAATGCTGCATTTTCGATATCAACATTGTTTTAACTACAGAAGCTTACTCAATCAAGTTTTTTTTATTCTACCAATAATTTCACTGTGTATTGCAATGCATGTGTCATGCAGGTCATTGGTTTGTTCTGTATTTACTTGGATAGCAATTGGGTATGTTTTTCTACATTTAACCAGTCCCTCTTTTCATCACAAATTCATAAAATAGTCGCGTTTATAGTCTGCACTTTCTTTTAGACGATTGAGACAAAAATAGCCACATTTTTTGAGTAAAAACTGTCTGTTGGATCCAAAATTAGGGTTCATTTAGAAAAAGATTGAAGAATATAAGAAAAAAAGTGCAGAAAAATTTGGGTCAGAAAGTCTGGTGGTGAAAAGGTTAATTCATCCCAACCATTGAAAATGTGAAACTCAAAGATTAATACCACAAACTATTCTAGATAGAACTATACATATTTGTATGCAAATTACAATACCTTATCATTAGTATGGGCTTTTTTGTGCCATCACACTTTAATAAAACAATGTCAAATCACATTGTATCATTTTAAATGTTTGTAAATTATTGAACAATGCTTTGTATTGCCGTTGAGGTATTGTGAATCACAAAGCAGCATGACCATGCAGGATAACACACAATACCTTTACTATCAGGATTTTAGCCAGCCACCTTTTATTTTAGAAAGACACACAATTTGACAGGCTATATTTCTTCAAACCTGTCAATGTGTAGTTGATAATTTTCAGTTTTTACCATAAAACCATAAATAATCAACAAATAATAGTATAAATATGCAGAGCAGCAATTACTATATCTTGCACTTCAATGTAAATTTTGGACTGGCTCTTTTTATTTTCTGGCTATAACCCTGTCTATAACCATGGTTACAAAT